ATCGTCACTAGGATTCATCCTCTGGGCAACATCGATGACAATCCATCCAATAGTTGTTGAGATATTTCAGTCTGAACCAAAGTGGTGGGCAAACCGAGTGACATTGCCATCCAAAGAGTCATGCAGCTATAGTGGCTAAAAATCTGTAAATCAAATTAAATGTTGCATTACATCAGCCCAGGTCCGCCATCTAAATCCAATCGATCATATTGATTGAAGCAGTGACACCACCGAAACTCTATTTCATAGAGTACACAAATACTGACTGTTCAAAGTTATACAAACATCATTATTTAAACAGCTTTTACTCAGAGCACATTACTGAACCCACACATGAATCATAATCTAAATTCAGCTCAGTGGAAAATTGCACAAAGGTTTGTTAAAATAACATAATATTTTATATTATAAAAGTAATTTTAATGGATAACAAAAGAGATATGAAGAGATTTTCAATATAACAAAAAATTCTTCTGAAACACATTAGTGTTATTAGTTATCCTAGTTTTAAAGCAGTTTACATTTCCACTGAACGGTCAGTTACAATTGTCTGTTGGTACCCGGTCTTACATTAACGTACTGTTTGAAATCAAATCATTGACAGGTTGAAAATCATCATAATCACAATAAAAACATGTATTTGCTCTTGGTTAAGAAGTTGATGTGACCTTAAATGCCAATGCTGACTTCTGGTCACAGCCAGTGCCAGGGGCTGAAAACCAAAAACCACTTCAGGTTCCTTTTAAGTGAACTCTCCCTTTAAGCAGGGAGGTCAACACGGACATAACTGAATAAATATTCCAGCTGACCGAAGGGCAAGGGAATCAAATATTAACAGAAGAAAGACTGAATGTTTGTTACTGTAAGTATATGACAGTACTTTGAACTGTGCTTCTGATTACTAGTTGGCAAAAGAGAATCCACATTTGATAAGATATAGACTGTAAACGGTGAATTTGAAGTTTATCATAGACAAAGAATCACTTGACTGAAAAAAAGGGTATTCATCTCTGTTTTTAAAAGTAATCTGCATAGAGTATTATGCATGTTAATGCAGTGCGTAACGACTCAATACAAAATTGTGCTACTTATACATCAGCACTTGCATTTTTGCACACCTCCTGTGACCTAATATATAGAGACAACCAATTAATTATAGGGGTGTGTTTTAACCGCCTGGTCTTCTTTTAGGTGACAGCACTGTACTATGTCAATCCAACATTTCCAAAGAACATACATCAGACATGTTAAATCTATACACTCCAGTATAAAAAATGGATTTACAAAGAGCTAGAATTTCAACGCATCTTTTGTCCCGCCGTAGACTTGTAATGCTTAACCAGTACTAAAATAGACACTTCAATAAATCACCCACCAACAGTGTTTGCTCTGCCATCTATTCAGTATTTCTACATTAGTATTTGCTTATGGAACTTGAAATGACCTCCCTAAAGCTACCAATTTTTAAAAGGGGATACAGACAAGAGGATAAGATGATGTGAGCAGCCAAAAAAAAAGAAGATACCAACAGAGTAAACTTACAGAACAAATAACATTACTTCATCAGACATTTTCCATTTATTCACAACATCATGAATCTTTTCTCTGATTCACTTATTTAATTATGCATATAGTTCTAAAACATATTGCAATTATGACTCTTAAGAGGCTTCTTAAAACCCTACTACTGAATAAAACAATGTATTATTGTCTGCAGAAGAAGCTTCAAAGCAATTATTGCTAAATGATACCAGTTTTTTAAAGTCTTTTTGGCTCATGGATTTAAAGATAAGATAAGATAAGATATTCCTTTAATAGTCCCACAATGGGAAAGCTGTGATGAGTACAAGAGGTTATCTACCTCCAGTGTCAATCAAAAGAGGAAAAAAAAAATCTCATTGTACACTTACATTTCTATGGTAACACGCAAGGCACGTGAAATGTCATCAATTTTGGGCGGGAATAGCAGACTTGTAATTTAGCTACAGCCAACAAATCAATGTTCAAATTAGTCCAGGTTTGAGTGCATGAGAGAAAAAAATCCTGAGTCAGTTCTCACACTCCCAAAATGTATATCAGATACAGAAGTTGCGAATAGAGCTCCTCACACAGGCAATATCTATTACTTTTGCTAATTATTAATAGAAAATGACTTTCAAGATGAAAGAGATCATCGAGGTTATAGCACTTTTCCTAGGTTTTGCAGGCTGGATAATGATTTTCATATCACTACAAGATCAGTATTGGAAAGAATCCACCACAGATGGCAGCGTAATTACAACCTCCACACTCTATGAGAACCTCTGGATGTCTTGTGCAAGTGATTCAACAGGAATCTATGATTGTCGTGACTTTCCATCCCTTTTTGCTCTTCCAGGTAAGTAAAAGTAGAAATAGTAATTGTCTAATAGTCTGTTTGTGATCATGAACATACACAAGATAAGTCACTTCATTTGCAGTTGTTGTTAAAAAAAATGAAAATATGACTGGTAATGCTGGTAATTAATAATAGTTTGCTTGGACTTCTGTTTTTTTCACATTATCATTCATGCTTTCAGTTATTTCTCTGATGATTCAGCTTTATGTAATAGCTGAGTATGCTTTTTCTAATCCCCAACGTCATACTGAGAGACATACAGCTCTTGATTGAGGCATGTACTTTTCTTTTTGGAGAGTCTAAATTATCATAACCTATAGAGAACCAGACAGTCCAGTCTTAATAAAAATTGAAATAACAGACATATGTTTGTGCTGTAATCTTCAAGGGTTTGACTAAAAGCAGCAGCTGTGTAATCCAAAATTTGTGAAACTTTCAAAGGTTATTTTTATTGAGATCACTGAGAGGAGAATCCACTTTACTGACATTTCTAAAAACATAGATTGTAGTAGATTACATTATTTTTTAGGTGTAAACAGTACTTGTTGAAGAAAATTACTTCATAAACCTTAAAAAAAATCATTATAGGTCCATAAGATTATCATTACATTGTACAGGTGCTTATTTTTCCACTGTATGCATTGAATTCAATGCAATGCATGTTGGACATTCATTGAGCACTGACATTTTACACATGGTAATTGCATACTGTATTTAATAAGCAGTTGAGTCAAGCTATTTTTACTTCTTGCAAGTGGTACTTCATTCTTGTTGAGACTGTTTAATATAATTTAATACAGTGGAAATCCACTAAAACTATTTCTTTAGAAATGTCCATAAAGTCAACATTGACTTAAAGCAGTTAAGTCAAAAGGTTCTTATTTCTTGTGTTTGGGTTTAAACCATTTGCAATAGAGAAAAAGGGGTTTTCTATGTATGGCCAAAAGGTTGCAGTGGTACTTCATCACCATGACGATAACGTCTGATAACGAACTACATTTGTTAAGCTAATGAAGACAAGTCTTTTGGGTTCAGTTGTCAGACAAGCAAACAGGTTTATCTGAAGAGCAGCAAACTTGGTCATCTGCAGGTCAGTGTGTAGTGATGCACCCTCACCCCCTTAAGGCCACACACTTCCCCATCATCCCTCGGACACAGAGTGAAGTGACGAGCCAAAACCTGTGATGAATCCCATCAATAACGGTTTGGTATTATTGACACAGTGTTCAAAGCAAGCATCAAAAGCTGACCAATAGCTTGAAGTCTATAGATGTTAGTAAGCAGGTTGGAAGGTTAGACTTCACCTCTCTGTTGTCACTTAAATTGGGTAAACATTTGGAGTCTTTGAAAGGGTTCAATAGAGCTGAGAATAATAGGGGAAATCATAAGTGGGCTGTTTGGAATTAATCATTGATTTGTAGTTTCTATAGCATCTTAGAATCGGTCTGGCACACTGAACCTTTGGGGCCAACAAATCCACACGTTTGTGCAGGGGGATAGCTGGGAGAGTCAACATTTGTATAAAGTGTTTCTCGCTCTGGATAACTCTAAACGGGTAGGACAGAAGATACAAGAAATTATGAATGCCATAGTGGAAGCTTTTGCCTTCTTCCTGGGGTTTCTAGGCTGGCTGATGGTTGGGGTCGCACTTCCAAATCGATACTGGAAGGTCTCTTCTGTGGATGGTAACGTTATCACCACATCAACCATCTATGAAAACCTATGGATGTCCTGTGCAACTGACTCTACAGGAGTTCACAACTGCCGGGATTTTCCATCTTTGCTCGCACTTAATGGTATGTGGCCAACACAGAAATTGTTTTATTAGTATTGATGACTACTTATCTGGCTTGAATGGTAATCCACCCACTCAAGCAATGAGATTATGAAGACTGTGACGAGGCAAACAAGAAAGACTTTACTCTTCAAGCACCTTTGTTTAAATGTTGTATAGGGAAAAATGGCTTTTGTAATAGAGCACCTAACAAAAAATGTGTAAAAGGCTGGCAATGTCATGAGCAATAAAACAGTTTGACCCTAAAAGATTCATATTGGATTCCATTGAATCCCACTGGATCAAACCCAAAAGTGGAGTAATGGCTGTCATTACTTGCCACTGTTTACCTTGATCTAAACGGGATCTTAGTGTGCCTTTAAAAGCCTATCAGGAGCGTTCTACTGTACTGGCTACAATATGTAGTAAAGAGGGGTTATATACAGTAAGATATGATAAGATGAGAGAGGATAAGCAATCACAACCACATTGAACCCAGACAAATACATACTAATAAAATAATAAAAACTTCTATTACCTAGAAAATTGTTCTAAGAACTAATATCCATTCCAGTTAGTTGGAGTCTGTTGACTACTTTGGCCGAAACTACCTGTTGAGGTATGAATTCAAACATTTACCAGGTGATACAATAGACAAGTGCTGTATGCCCAGCCCTAGTCTTGAGCCCTGAGGTAAAACTTTTGTCAAGCTTTCATCTCATCAATGGCAGAAACATGCTTTCCAGTCCACACATACATATATCTTTCTGTTTTGTTAAGATGGGGTATAGAAAACTAAGAACTTCCCTTACTGACACAGCAATATATACAACTATGACCTTTTTCATTGTTTTTAAAGTACTGAATGATTACTGAGACAATAACTTTGTTTTCAGTGTTGTGGCTGAAGTCGTATTTTGTAGGCTTTCCCCACTAACCATGTCAATAGAGCCTGTAAGAGGAGTTTGTGTTCTGGGCGGTTCTGGGTCTGTACTAATGGAACCAGGGTTACTATCAGTGAGCCTCTGAGGGGACTCACACCAGCGTCGATTTTCACAGCAGCCATTTTGACACAAAATAATAGGGTAAACACAGGTGTTACCAATGATACTAATTAGGGCTCTGTTCCATTTAGGTCAGACAGATTCAGGGTGCTGCAGTTGTGCATGTTGGTTCACTGGAAAGGCTCTGCTACACTATTGACACGTAACCTTAATTAGTGTCATTAGTAACACCTTACTTTCAAAATGGCTGCTGTGAAGAACGTTTATAGCCTTATCTTGTTCTAACAAGACATCTCTGTAGCTAAAGCATGCATTTCTAACACAATAAGAAATATTGCTTTTACTGATGCAACTATGCATTTGATTTGTTTCAATGCTCATATTGTAAATATATTGATCTATGCGTCTTGGACATGTTATTATAAATAAATGTACTTCTTTATTTGTGCACAGGATACATTCAGGCCTCCCGAGCACTCATGATCGCTGCCATTGTGTTTGGGACGTTTGGGCTCGTGGCTACCCTCGTAGGAATGAAGTGCTCAAAAATAGGAGGAGAAAACTACATCCTTAAAGGAAGAATCGCTGCAATTGGAGGAGTGTTCTTTTTACTACAAGGTAAAGGACTCAGGGATGGCTGTAATGGCCATGTAACAAAAAAAAGCATGAGAAAATGTTTGGTCAGAAGTCACTTTAAATGAAGAAAGGTCCCTGTGTTTATAGTATTTTAATGAAAATGTCCATTCCCTAGGAAGACAGCTGTAAACATTACAAATATAGTCTCTGCAAGGGTTTTACTGCGAGATTCACGAGAAATTGATTTAAGATAAAGAGCCTAACCTCATCTTAACACAAAATACCTGGAAAGGTAAATCATGTCTAGTACTCCAATCTCTGTGGACAGAAGACAAGCTATCAGATATGGGCCACAAGTTCAGAAGGTTATCCTTACTCTAACAAACCTGCTGATGCACAATAGGTATTTGGATTGTGAGAATAGGTCACATGACGTGAAATACAGAAAGTGAAAAAAATTACTCTTGTTATTTATTTCAGTTTAATCTGAAAAGCTTTAAAATATTATTTATTTTTATTTTAACAGCCTAGTAAAGTCAAAGTCAGCTTTATTGTCAAATAGTGACTTTAATCGTCTTTTATTAAGATAGAACTTGTAGAGTGAACTCGAGCTAATTTATGCAGTTGTTAGAAGGTAATTTTGCTTCATATGACTGGCCTCATAAATCATGTTTTATTATTGCATAAAATGGTTTTAGCCCCACCAGGTTTTAAAGTTTTACTCCTAACATGACATTACTTTAGTATCTACAAACTCTCTTCAAACCCTGAAAAGGTCTTGACCTTCTTCATTTTATCTTAGCTTGGAACTGTTGTTTGCATTGAGAATACATCGTACTTTTCTAAAGTAAACAATGTTTTGTAGGGATCTGCACCATGATTGCTGTATCTTGGTATGCAGCCAACATCACACAGCAGTTCTTTGACCAGTTTTATCCAGGGACAAAGTAAGTCAATACAATCTGCATCAGTATTTCAGCGAAACAAAAGCTGAATGATAGAAAGTGACGTTGTTGGTCGCAGTAAACGCAATAATAATAATTTTTAAAAAAATTTGTTAAATTTTACTCTATCACAGGTATGAGATCGGAGAGGGCTTGTATATCGGCTGGTCGTCAGCCATACTTGCCATTTGCGGAGGTTCATGCCTGATGTGTGCTTGCAAAGTCAAAACACCCAATGAAAAAATGTAAGTATGTGTTGCTGAAACGTTTCTACTTCATTCACTTCAAAATTGAAGCATATTTTCATGACAGAAACATGTCTTTTGTGTTTTAGATCATATCCATACCAACCACCCTCTAGAGGACATGTCCTGTCAACTGTGGGAACGTCTCAGTCTGTCCCAAGCAACTATGGAAGAAATGTGTATGTCTGAGAGGTTATTGTGTAAGAGGGAAGGCCAACTGGATTTGAGTCAGTTCACCAGATAAGATTGTTTTGAGAGAAAATGAACAATTACTGATAACACTGTTCTCAATGCATGGTGAGAGGGCAGCATTTACAATGGGAAACGCCTATAGACTTATGATCACTGTAGTATAGAGCACTAACTAAGATCTGCTTTATCAAATCTGAACCTTAGTGATATTTACTGTATATGAATTTGTATTGTTTATGTATGGTGAAAATTGCATATATGTACCTTCCTAACTTGCTATGGGCTTATCAAGAGAAACTGCAACATAATGAAAACTGTGACAGTACAAATGGAAAGCAATGTTTTACAGTGTTGATCACTGCTTTAATTTTGACAAATACAATGTACATAACACAGAAGGTGGTGGGAATCCCAATACAGGACCATTTTCTATCCCAATAGCCTTTAATAACCAAACCTTTACACGTAATTACTTTCGTTTTACTTTATTTTAATGATTACAGGATGAGTTAATTGCAAGAAAGCTAATTAATGTGAAAGGAACAATCTGATCCTCTGACCATAGGGCATACTACTTTGACATTATTTTTAAGCTTTTAAGATAAAAAAAAAACTTGTTTATGACTTTTTTTACTTTAACTAGGACTAGGAAAACACGCCAATCAAACATATTTAATTCTCAGATCACCTTAAACTGTTGTGTTATGTTCAAGTTTATGAAGTTTGTATAGCATATTAAGTGATCAATCATTTGTTATACCTGTGTATCCTTGAACCTGCCTCAGGTTTTCTGGTTGAAAAAAATGAGAGTTGCACCTCTTACACAAAATGTAACACACATTCAGAATAATTCATTGCACTATTGCAGACTGTTGTGAATAGCCATTTGGTTTGTTTAACAGCTAAAAAAGCAAACGAAATGAGATTGCCATTCCAGAAATGTCTGCAATCTTCGTGATAAATAGTCTGGATGGTTTTAGAACAAAATAAAGTGTGGTGGTATGGGTCTGGTCTACTGCAAGTACTGGTTCAGTATACAGTACAATCACATTACAAGACGGGTTTCAGTGTGATTTTATTGTGATTCTCACCTCTGAACCAGAACACTTGAGTAACAGAGTTAAAACACACACACGTAGCCTGTGTATTATGTGCATTTTAATCTTTTTTTGGCACATATATGTATGTATATGTGTTTACACTTGTAGTGTCCCACTGTTTTCTTCTGGGTGATTTCAAAGGTGTTCCTCTTTATTTAAGTATGTTTTATACACAAATAAATATCATTGTCAGTGACAAAACCACGGGAATATAAATGAGAGGTTATGATATCCAATAGAGTGCTGACTGGAGCTGTTGAGCAATGTGACTCAATATCATTAATAAAGAAATGCCAGTTCACATGTTTAAATAAAGAGTTTAGGGTTACAGAGCTGGTTTGCATATTATCCTCTACGTTCACTTCTTTAATCAAAGCAGCCTACAGCTAAGATTGCACTCACGACACAGAGCTGAATGTATGGCCCAATTATCCACAGCTCACTTATACTTTCCAGAGCTGTCAAATTATATAATGACTCATCAAAGATGGGCCATTTTCAAGCCCAGCTGTGTTTGACTCACTTCTTTTAGAGGACTTCATGTGCTTTGTCTTCATCAGGGAGAAGATCATGCAGAATTATTAAGTGCATTAGTTAGTTAAATACGCCACCTACTGGAATGATATGGTGTCACATCTGAGATTGGATTTACTCAGGTCAAATCCCATTGTACTGTCTTCACCCAGCATCACTAGGTGCTGTAATCCTGTCTGATGAAGGCAATCTGTTGTTTCTTTTTATTCATCAAGTGTTGATAGAGATATAAACATTTGCAGGAAATTATGTGAGTTTAACTATATGCAACCATAGCTGTAAAATGAAGTAAGGTTAAGAGTATTTAAAATCATATTTTCTAAATTATATGTAGCTCCTAGTATAATGAAAGAAAAGGTCATATTTACTAGGACATATTGTTTTGTTTGCCAGACAAGGTAGAGAGTAACCAGGTACATGGAGATTATTTTGGCACTGACTGTTATAAAGGGTGAACATTTATGGTAGAAAACAAACCAATCACATTTTATTCACAGCACTATGCATGTTTTTCTTGGCAAAGGTCTAATCTTTAGGCGCTTCATTTGCTAAATTGTCCAGGTTTTGTCCGTCAAAGCGTATAAAGTGCCAGCCTTCACTGACGGTGAGATCCTGAGCTCCTTTAGCAGCATAGAAGTCCCGAGAGGGAGTATTCCAGTCCAACACAGACATCTGCAGGCGCACACACTGCTTCTTCTTCCCCACCTGAGCAAACAAAACAGTCTCGGTTAATCATGCACCCCATGCTATCTCACAGAAAGAGCCACAATACTTTCAAATGTCTTACATTTAAAAAAATTACCATTTGCTTTAGTGGTCAAAAACATTCTTACCTCAGCAACTTTGCTCAGTAAACCCTTGCCAATGCCATTTCCTGTAAAGTAAATCAATAAAACAACAAAATATTTTTACTTGGGAACAAAGAAAAAAAGTCAAACAAACAAAAACCACACCAAGAAATTATGATTCACACAACTAAGCAAGTACACACACAAAAATAAATATTTTATTTTTAGTCTTTGTGCAACAGTTATTTTACCAACACGTATTTTACCTCTGAATTCTGGCATCACATACAGGTCCTCCAAATATACTGACCGTCCCTTCCATGTACTGTAAGTGTAAAAGTACAGGGCGTATCCGACAATTGTGAATCCTATGTGGACAAAAAGAAACAAGCAATCAAATAGACAAGCTGGAAGAATGTCAGAAAAAATATAAACCACTACAGCTATAGTGGACGTTTGTGATCATTGAATCAGTCTAACCGGCAGGACTCATAATTTCTTGGAAACTAAATAGGTATGTCTAAACAGCAACAGCACAGACCTTTTATTATCTGAGTAAGATGCAGACATGTTGATTGCTGGCTGACAAGGAAGACTGGAATGGAAACACTTCACCTTCTCTAGATTTATGCTCCTCAGGTACTTCTGCAACGAGGCATTCAAAGAAGGGATTCTGGCAGAAACCGTCCCGCTCCAGTTCTAACATGTAAAATAAGAAAGACAATTTACCCAAACACAAAAATGTTTCTGTCCATTAGAAATAATATTGGTCATCAAGATCCAAGTGACAAACACATTTAAAACATCAATACTTGAGACACTTGAAAAATAACTAAATATTTTTCTTATTTAATTATAATAGCTAAAATCCAAGTACATGAGGACATTGCTACAATAAAGTTCATTTGGCAAAAAAAAAAAAAGGTTTTGTTTTTGTAAAAGAAAATATTACTCCAGCTGTGGATCACATCCTTCTACTGTACATCTCAAACATTGTTGAATGCATTTTCTACCTCACAAAACTTGCAAAGTCATGTCCCTGAATGTTTCTTCTTGTAGTCCTCTATTATGGGCACATTGCTTCCCATATGGCGTATTATACTGCCATCACTTGTTGATACGTATTCTCTTCAGTCAGAAGAAATGTCTACAAAGTCATTCACGTGCTGAGATACAAACAATCCGGGGACCAGCTCATCAAAACGTTGCTCTACAGCACCACTAGTGGTCACAAATTTAACAAGGTACCTTTAAAAGTACTGTATGTACTGTAGACATCACCGTCATACTGTACTGTCTAGCTGTTGTTTTAATGTTCACCTCGGTTTTCCAAACAGACACGCGGCACTCAAGCAACAAATCATGATACAGGTATAAGGGAGACTGCTTGTAGTAAGAGTAATTCATCCGGAAACTGAACTTACCTGACAAATGATACAGAAAAGAGCAGGAAGAACTGCCATTGACCCTGCCTGCCCATACAACCACACACAGCTGAACCCACCTCCGCCTCTGACCTCGGTACAGCTACTGATGAGTGCACTCCATTTATTATTTACTTATGTCTGGTTGTATTGCTCTGTAATAACTAATCTGACACTGTAGTCTTCAGACACAAAGTTGCAAATCCAATAGCAGTCCCATTGACTGCCACTGGATTTACATATATGCACTATAGATCTTTTTCACATCATAGACCATGATAATAATGCCATAGAAGGAAAAACACAGGAGTAATTGTTAGCATTAATAATGTTATGAACTCATTTAGTTAAACCAGTTTCTGTGCAT